GTGTGTGTGCTACCTGGTTCCTCCGGAGCTCCTCCTCCAGCCGCTGCAGGTTCTGCTTCACCTCCTCCAGCCGCGGCTCCAGACTGCCGGCGTCTCCCATCTGAGGGCTGCGCTCATAAACCTCCCTCATCTTCAGCAGAGCGTCTCTGGAACACACACACACACGCAGCCTTTAACACACACACACAGAGGAACACACAACATCTCACACTGTAGAGGGCCAAGCAGCAGAGACCCAGACACTCTGTCCCACAGCTGAAGATGTGCCAGGAGACCAATCAGAAGACAGCTCACTCCAAAGTCGACATGGAACGTCTGCAGAGCGACCAGTCACGGCCCTCTTGGAGACACCAGGACGTGTCCCACCTCCACCAGAACCTGGTCACTGTGAGCACAACCACAGCTCTGGAGAAGAGGACATGGCATTGTTCTGGCTGACCTCCTGACCTTTCTCTCCCATGAACACACAGAACTTTCTCCACCACAAATGAAGGACATCAAACATCACCGGAGTGATGAACCTAAATCTGGACTCAGTCTGTGGTAGCAGGTTGAGACGGACCAGAAGAAGAACACCTCAAACCTGAAGAGTTTGTGGGACACAGAACTCAGAGACCTCCTGATCGCTTTCTCAGCCATGAAGACACAGACGGAGGAACCGTACAGCTGAACCAGACGTTTACGTCCACCGTAGAAGCAGACACAGAACCTTTATTTCTTCCTGTCTGACATTAAATCAGACCAAACGTTTCCTGTTTCAGCTCAGTCAGGATCACCAGCATTAGTTCTATTTGCTAAACACCAGAATAATGAGAGAGAGAACTTCTTTACTACTTTCTTCAGAGTCAGAAGTTTCCATCCATCTCCTCAGTATCTGCTAGCGTTGCCTTTAAACTCTATGACTTTGGGTCAAACGTTCTGGGTTTCCTTCCACAAGCTTCTCACAACAGTCTGATGAGTTCTGGCCCATTCCTCCTGACAGAACTGGTGGAACTGGGTCAGGTTTGTNAATAAAACCTAACAACTTTGAATCTCTGTTATCAATATTAATCTACAAATCAAATCTCTGACTACATAAATCAATACTTGCCAAAGTGGTGGACAGCACCGAGGTTCTGCTCCAGCAGAACCCAGCTCGCTCCTGTGATGGTCCCCGTTGGCTCCAGCGCAACGTTCAGTCCCTTTACCCTGGGTCACTATAGCTCTGGACCTTGTTTGTATGGTTTCAGCTGCAGTCAGACCCTCCAGTCAGAACCTCCAGTCAGAACCTCCAGTCAGAACCTCCAGTCAGAACCTCCAGTCAGAACCTTCCTGATGATCTGTTCCTGTATAACAGGCGGTTTTAACCGTCTTCATGTCGCCACCAAACAAACAGTTGCTGCAGCACACTTGGACTCAGCACCTGTCCCTTCCTGGAACTCTTCTTCACTTCTGCTTCATCTGCGGTGCACTCAGCAGCGCCACCACCAGGCTCAGACAGGCGCCTCCTCCCTGCTCACTCTGTGTTCCAGTCATGAGAAGGAGCAGATCTGCCAAAAGGAGAAATTCTCTGCAGAAATATCAGGAATCCTCTGAAGTCCTGGCCACAGGATCCACCCACACCTCCATCAACAGCTGCTGCACTCACTTCCTCTCACAGCAGAAGTCTAGGAGCCATCTTTGACCACACCCTCTCCTTCGACCATCATAGCCAGCATATGACCAGAACAGCCTTCTTGCCCCTAAACTCATCGCCTGCCTCCGTCCGTCCTTCCCCTCTTGAGCTGTTTTCATCACATCCACACTTGACTACTGCAACAGTCTTCTTTACAGTACATCATCCAAATTGCTCAAGAAACTTCAGTACATCCAAAATTCTGCTGCTCACCAACTCCATCCAGTGAATCCACTTCAAAACCCTCCTGATCACCTACAAAGCTCTCCATAACCTGGTCCCCCTACCTGACAGAACTCCTCCACTGGCACACTCCCACCCACACCCTCCGATCAGCGGGTGTGGCCTCCTGTCCATCCAGACCAAATACTGGATCTGGGCTGGCAGGGCTTTCTCCATGGCTGCTACCACCCTCTGGAAGGCACTCCCCAAAGCATCAGAGAATCCTCCTCACTCCTTCAGGGCTGTCCTGGCCATGTTCGGCGCTGTGCGATGACACATGTTGTGAACTGCGCTATACAAATAAAATTGAATTGAAATAAAGACATATCTTTTAAACACTGCATACAACTCATAATTCTTTCTCATTATTTTTGTTTGTCTTGTTCTTACCTACTTTGTAAAGTGTCTTGAAAAGCGCTGTATCAGTATTACTGGAGCTCAGGGCGAGTGCAGCAGCTTTAACTGTAGTGAACTTACAATGTCCTGTTCAGTGGGAGATCCCTGCATGTCAATGACTTGGTCTCTTCTGCTCACCTAGATGCTGTGTTTTTAAAGGGGAAATGAAGCACTCAGTCCAGTTAGCATCGTTCACTGCATGTATTTCCACTCTACTCAGAGGGTGTATGACAAACATGAAAAACGTTAGCATATAAAAGGGAAAAGAAGATTGTTTGGTGTCGTCTCTACAGAGGGCGCTGCCATCTTGGTGTACGATAACCAGTGACGTCACATGGCTGGTTAGCGTCACAGGTTTAATGACAGACTGTGGGCTATAAAGACAGCAAAAGATGGAGACTGAAGAGCCACAGAGCACCAGAAGACAAAGGAAGCCACTACTGCATTACTCCTGATAGAAGAATGAATTTACAGGGTTAAAGCCATGAACAGTTCACTTCCATAACCTGCTGCTGAAACAGAGACCAATCCTGATGCTCTGCTAGAACCACTCAGTACCAAGAGCCTGGATGGGCTCTGACTCCAGGGTTTGTAGGAACACTGTCCGGAGGAAGATCACACTGAGGAGAAGGTGGTGGAGTCCAGCAAGCTGGCAAGTTCACCGGCCCGCCAGACTGAAGCCCGACGTCCTGTCAGTGTTCAACTTCACCGGCTGAAACGTCGCGCTGCTGATCAGCCAACACAGCCCAAAAACAGCCGTACAGCGGCGTCAGTCCACCGCAGGGAAACAGAGCCACTGTGTTTAGCTACATGGAGCTACATGGTGCTAACTGGCTAACTATAAACTGCTGTATGGACTGGGACCTGTCTCAGACACGTAGTTGTTTGATAGGAACATCATCACCCACAGCAATAAAGTTCAACACAACGCTTCCGAATGTGTCTAACTGGCACGTTTCACTGTGAACACCTGTTGTCCTCTAGCTCAAAGATTTCCATCACATCGTAGCAGCATCAGAGTTAGCTAATGGGAGCTACGCTATGCAACATAGCAGCCAAAATGACTGTCAGAAATAAAAAAAATCAGCTACAATCACTGTAAACACTCGGTCATCAGTATTCTAAACTCATGTCATTTAATACCAGACTACAGGCCAGAGCTCAGAACTGATGCAACCTCTAAAATATACTTCTTACCTTGACTTTATGTTTTCCAAATTTCCAATTGTGTTATCATCCTCATAATTCTTCCCTTTGCAATGTGTGCAAACATCCTTTGTTCTTTTAGCCAATGAAAAAAATAAACTGTATAGAAACCCACAATGTCAAGCAGTGAAGTGCTAACAACTAAGCTAACCGAACTACAAACACATAAAGTACACGATATACAACAAGCAAACGTAACTAGAAACTATGGGGGCCAGAGGACAGGATCCTCATTCATCATCAGAGCATACGAACATTCCTACAGAGAGCATGGACTTTATCACACAGCTCTGACCATGCTTCCACCTCGCTGACGAGTACCTCGATCTCAGTTTCAGAAAAGTTCCTCTTCGTCGTCCTTTTTGCCGCGATGATGACGACAAGTGAGGAAAAGAAACCTTCACTTGTTTAGACAGAGGTGTGTTGCTGCCGTATGTGGTGATGTGGAGGCGTTCCTGAAGGCAACGAGCACGGAGGTTAAGAACCAGTGGGATCTACCAACACTGATGATACCACCCCCGTACGCACGTTTGATAAATACAGATTTCTTTGTACTTACACTCTAAATTTCATGCGTACGACAGAATTTAGAAGCTTTTCTAGGCACTGATGATAAATGAGGCCCCTGGTATATATACAAAGTACTAAACTATGAGCCCAGCAGGTGAACAGGGAACTTAAGTGTGGACGGAGGGGACGGGAGAGTGAATCTGGCATCGGCAGGAACTGCCACAAAGAGGGGGAGGCAGGTGACAAGATGCAAACTTGAGCGAATGGAGGGTTCTGACTAAGATCAAATGCAGGGAATGGCAGGAGACCAATGGAGAGGAACCAAGGTGGAACAGAGCAGCGAGGAGGGTCCAAACTGGAGGAACAGGGAAAACCAGGTACATAAAGGTAACAGCAAACTTCAGAGTGGCTACAGAGGCCAGGGCTTACTAACAGTGGTAGTCAACAGTCCAGCATCAAGTCGTGACTTCACTTCGGCTTATATGGCAGAGAGGCAGCTGAGTTCAAGGTGTGCCACTCCTCGCACAGGTGTGTTCAATGAGGTAATTATCCAGTGGCTGCACCTGCCCAGATTCCCCACACATGTCCAGCTCACAGCCACCTGGAGGTAGAGGATAGTGGGAGAGAGGGAAAAACCTACACGAAACAGAGCCAGAGGTAGAGGACTAGTAGTCTCAGTAGTACCAGGAGTAGTCACCTATTCTCCTGTGCTTCAGTTTGGCTACGTTCGCTGCCAACCCGTGATCCAGTCTTCATTCCAGACTCCCCACACGTGTCCCTCTGCTGAAGTCATGTGGTCCACCTCCGTCTCCTCCGGCTCCCCCTCACTAGTTTCTCATGTTGTAGTGGCCCCATTTCTCATCTACTCAATCAGTAGTATATTTGATAGGTTTGTATTTGTTGCAGTAAGTTTTTGATTTACTTGTAAGTATAGTTCGTCGTCCTTTAGAGGACGTTTTGAAATATTTCTAGTTGCAAGTATCTGTTAGTAGTAGTTTACTGTTCCGGTCTGTTTATATATATTACGCCAATATTACCATTCCAACCTTCAACTAACCTTAGTTCGCCCTTTTGAATCTTTGTTAGTAAAATAAATATTGTTTCATTGATTCTACGTTTTTGTGGTCGAGTCTTTTGTCTGCACCTGAGCCTTTGCAAGCCAAACCGTGGCATTGGTAGTACAAGTAGTAGTATCAATCAATCAATCAATCAATCAATCAATCAATCAATCAACACAAAGTGCTTTAAAGACAATAAAATATAATGAAATTAGAGAAGTCCTCTGAGAGCTCAGACCTCCTCCCAGCAGCTCATCTCCGCCATGGTGTGATCTCCAGCCGATGTTGAAGTCCTGATTGGTTTGTCTACAGTTAGATTCATGGAGGATCAGAGCATAGCTTTAGCACTGAGTTAGCATTGATATCATTAATAACAAGCTGACGGAGTGATGGACGCTCGTTCTGTTCTCAGATACTTTCTACACTGACGTTATTTCTGCAGTTCCTCACTGGCTTTAAGCTGTTAGCTAACGCTATGCTAGGTTAGCATAACTACAGTGATGACATTGCTAACATAAACAGACAGAGAGCAACTTAAGCTAGGTTAGCACAACTTTAGCAATTCAATGTAAATGAAAAGCATGACCGATGCAACAAAGCACTCGTCAGTCGTCCTGACTCATGGCAAAGAGAGTTAAATTGAACCAGGAGACATGCTGAGTCATTGTTAATGTGGACCAGGAGACNGATGGATGGATGGATGGATAATATAAGTCTTCATGTTCTCACTGTTGAAAGCGTGTGCTTGTTTTCTTAGTTGTACTATTAATGTACTTTATGTGAAATTCCAGATCTATGCATCACCACACGTGTTGTGTGTGTGTGTGTGTGTGTGTGTGTGTGTGTGTGTACCTCTGCTCTCTCTCTCTCTGGATCTCCTGGCTCATGGAGCTGATTCTGCTCTGGAGCTTCTTCCTTCTCTGCTCTGGAGGCAGGTGGCTGCAGTCGGCTGGACTGGAGCCCTGAAACATTCCCTTCATGTCAGTCAGTGTTTATTACAGATCACACATCATCAGGTGCTCTGTGAGAACTCACTGACTCTCAACTGTATCCCCTCTAAGTAATCAGATTACTGTTGCTATGGCGCTGTGAGAGTGGCAGCAGCCAGTTGCAGCAGCTCCTTCCTACTTTCTGGGTTTTTAGCTATTTATCTTGATTTTGCTTCAGTCTTTTTAATATTTTCATTTCACACAGCTGCACCACATTTGTGCGGGAACAGTGGAGATGCAGATGCCGTTTGGTTGGTCTGTTCTGTTGCCGTTGAGCCTCTGTTGTTTTACACTCATGCACAGCTGTTGGCGCTGATCCAGGCTGGGCCACCGTCGTGGAGAGACCAGACATCCCCGATGAGCTGGAGGAAGAGGGGATGCAGGGCAGGAGAGGAGAGGCTACAAGCCGTCCGTCTGTCCATCATCATGGGCAACGGGAGGTCTCTCCCTAATGGGCTGGAAGAGCTAACAGCTAACGGCTAACGGCTAACAGCTAACAGCGCTGAGCCGGCTGCAGTGGGAGTATCGGGAGTGCAGCCTCATGTTGTTCACAGAGTCATGGCTGAACAAACTCACTCGCAACATAGAACGGATTCACCGGGTCAGAGCGGACCGGAGCTGGAGGGAGAGTGAAAAGAAAAAAGGCTGGGGACTCGCCATGTATGTGAATGAGAGGCGGTGTAATGCTAGCACGTTAGCGTCAAAGAGCGGCGCTGCGTGAAGGATGTCGAACTGCTGGCGGTTGGTTTGCGGCCATTTCACCTGCTGAGGGAGTTTTCACACGTCCTGGCGATTACAGTTTCCATCCTCCCCTCGGCTGACGCTGCTGGGGCCTGTGAACTCATCCATAGCTCAGTGTCCCAGCTGCAAACATCTCACCCTCAGTCTCTGGTGGTCATCTCAGGAGGCTTTAACCAGACATGGCTCTCTACCACTCTCCCCTCATTCAGCCAGCATGTGATGTGGACCGCCCAACCGGAGATGGTGGGCCTTGTAATCTAACATTAGAGTAAATACGCTACTGGTCTACTTAAAAGTAATCTGATTACTGTAAGGGGATGTAGTTTAGAATAATTCAACAGTGATATTTCAGAGGAGTGAACTCACTGCTGCACACTGTAAATATTTAGCAGAGAAAGACGCACAGGAAACAACAGTAAACATGATGTGGTGTGAAGCACCTGAATGCTGCTGACAGGTGAGATACTGACCAGTTTCAGTGACAGCTGTCCAGTCAGGAAGGAGAGCATGAAGGAATCACAACAATAAAACAGCAGATAATAAACACCATAAACATCATGAACACCATAAACACCAGAAGTATGGATTTGTGTGTCGTGCTGTTGTGTGTTGTGCATGTTGTTGTGTGTACAGGTTGTGGGTTTGATTCCCAGTCTGGATAAACAGGCCTCCAATAGGGTTACGAGGTTTGAACCTTCCAATGCTACACCAGCCCAACTCAGAACACAACAGAGTAGAACTAAAGCCTCATGGGCTCGGACGTCGCCTGGATTAAAAGGTCCAGTTGACTACTGGGAAGCAGGACATGCTGCTGAAGCGACTGGAAACAGACACATGGACTCGACATAAGAACATAGAAGTGATGGGAACCTACTACAACAGCAGGCCCAATGGTGGATGGATGAATGGGAGATCCACCTCCCACTAACCAAGAAGCAGCTAGTAGAACAGAGCTCTAACATAAAGAGGAACAAACTACTGCCTGTTGGAAAGGCTCCAACACAACCTTCCTGAACACCAAGCAGATCTGAGCTGACCCCAGGAGAGGAGAGCAGTGCCAACCTGCTGCCAACCCACCAGCACTCATGAACCTACATCCACATAGCTGAGGACAGGGATGGTGGACAGGCTAAGCAATGTCAACTACCAGATAAGACTACATGGATCACTGAGTCCCATCAGAAGAGATGCCTGCAGATGTTAACACAGCTCTACTCACTATCAATACTATCATCATCATCACAGAAACAAATGAACTTTTGTATGCCAAAGTAACAGTAACTCTCGAAGCACTTGGGTGAAAGGTCCACAACATAGCACGCAGAGACTGTTTCCCATTGAGGAGAAGGCTGGAAGCTGAGGAACAGAAAAGCCTGCAGGGACGTTAGTCGGTGAACAGAAGTGTAGAAGGGGGTCATGACAGACAGGTCCTGGATAAGGATGAAGTGAAGATATCTATAAGGGAGGCTCTAGAGACTGACAAACAAACCAATACCAAGTGGCTGGGAGATCTAAGACCACAGTAACCTACCTCCTAGAACAAGAATCAGTCACCATCACCAAATCAGCCATCCAACAGTGAGTCTCAGGTGTGAAGAGCTGGACAACACCAGGACCTGATATGATCCACTCCTTTTGACTAAAGAAGTGAACAGTGCTCCATGGTCCCCTGGTGGCAGAGATGAGTGAGTTGAAAGTGGCCCACACTCATCCAGACAGCCTAATACAGGGTAGTCATCAGTGTCCTGTTAGTCTTGCATAGTTCCAGACACTGTTGTAGGTGCGGGACATTGAGTTGTAGGCTTTCATTTAGTAAGTCCATGCAGTGCTTAGACTGGTCTTTCTGGTCTCAGAGTCTTCGGTGACTTTTCTGCTGAACAGTAGCTGGTGCTTCAATCCTCTGGCATTGTTTCCGATGCCCTTCTGAGCTTTGCTCATGTATTTACTTGTGTATCTACAAAGCATAGCTGCTATGATGCCTGAGAGGAAATTCAGTGTTGTGAAGAGGCAGGGTATCAATTGGTACTTAGAAGGTCTTGCACTCTTGTGGAAATCTGTCATGATCAGAATTGTCCATTCACCGAGATGTAGGTGCAGCTGTGAAGAACACTGAACGACAACCCCGAGGCCATCACACAAGTCACCATCAAGTGTGGCATATACCGAGCTAATGTCATGTCCCCGCTGCTGTTCTGCATGGGCCTGCATCCCCTCAGTCAAATTATTTCAAACAGTGGGTACAGATACAGGTTTAGAAGAGAAGCAGCGATTAGCCACCCTGTACATGGCTGGTATCACGCTGTACGCCAAGAGTGAACATCAACTCACTGATCCACCTCACCAGGATCTACTGCGAGGACATCAGGATGATATCCAGAATGGACAAGTGTGGCCTCATGGTGGCACAGAGAGGGAATACGATCAGGACTGAGAGGGCGGAGTTACGAGAAGGCAGGATAGCAGACGTACAGGACAGGCACAGGCACCTGGGTATCCCACAGTCCAATGGAAGCCAGGTGTAAGACAGGTGCTGAGAAGTCAGCTCAATGGAAAGAATAGGATCCAAGCCATCAATGTGTATGCTCTACCAGCCATAAGGAACCCAGCTGTGGGAAAGAGCAAGATATAGATGGGGAACAAACAAGTATTACAGAGGCATCATGGCAGCACAAGAACAGGCTCTGAACAACAAATCCATAAAGACAGGAAGTTGACCACAGCTGACTGGACCTCAGCTACAGGGTGCATAGAAGTCCCTGAGAAGTTCAGCACATGGTAAAATCCTGTGGGGCTTCAAGCTCCATGAAGAAGTACCAGGAGCTGAAGGACAAGCTGGAAAAGATGGGGAAGGTGAAACCAAGGCAGTCCCAAAGGCAGCATTAGGGGACAAGCCCCTAAAAAAGTTGTTGGAAGTGGCTCCAGTAGATTCCAGGTACAACACCTGAGGTCTTGGTCCAGAAGATTGCAGTCCAGAAGAGGCAAACATATTAAACTCTCCAACTCCCAGAAGCAAACAGAAACTCCCAGGACTCTGGTAGAGGACCTGAGCTGAAGGAAGACACACCCCACCCCACCATATATATTATATATATGTAAACAGGATATGTCGTGCATGTACCCCTCTCTTGAGGCTGCGAAGACACTGCTTCCTGGTTCTGGAGCCAGAGGTCATGAGGTCATTCAGCCGCTGTGCGATTGGCTCTCTGGAGGCTGGGGGTGGGGACTGGGGACTGTTAACCACACCCCCCGGTGAAGGTGAGGTTGGAGGTGGAGGTGGAGGCTGCCGAGGGGAGGACAGGAGGGTCAACAGCTGGAGAGAGAGACAGGTGATCAGTACAGTCTGCCAGTGGATTTCTGCCAGGTGAGGCTTTACCTGCACTATGTGTATCTCTTCGTGTGTATGTTTGTGTACCTTGTTTTTGCGTAGGAAAGGCCACAGCTTTCTGCTGTGTCTCCGCCCTTCAGTTCGGTTGTCGAGGTAACTGGATTCAGAGATGCTCCGCCTCATGGTGGCGCTGTAGTCTTCGAACTCAACGTCCCCTGGAGGGTCAAACCCAGATTTGTACACCTCCACCACCTGACGGGTGTCCTGCACACAGACACACACAGTGTCACACCTGAGCTGTGAGCTTTACGTCCCTCAGTGCTGCCTGCAGGAGGCCAACACAGTACAAAGACGTATTTGTGATGCTTGTTTATGTTGCTGCTCTCTGCAGCTTACACTACCCGTGCAGCAAAGGCTAGCATTGCAGCTAAGGCTAGCACCACTGCTAAAGCTAACCCTGCAGCTAAGGCTAGCCCTGCCACTAAAGCTAACCCTGTTGCTAAAGCTAACCCTGTTGCTAACGCTAACCCTGCCACTAAAGGTAACTCTGCAGCTAAAGCTAGCCCTGCAGCTAACTGGATGGGTCTAGAGATGGTGCTGAACTAACAGCTAAAAACTTTTGATTCTCCACCTTTATCTCTAAGCTGTAAAAAGCACAAATCCAGTTCTGAGTCACCACAACACAAACAAATGGCAAATCACACTAATGCCACTACAGTTCCACCACTCTGCACACCAAGAATGATGAACCACATTTATGTTTTTCAACAGAAACCCTTATTTTACAGAGTGCTGCACACATATGTTCACAGCATGAAAGGTCATGATGGCAGCTACTGAAAGTCACATTGTGAGCTATGGCTACTTTAGCCTAACTAACTAACATCAACAGCCATCTCAGGTCACCAACAGGAACATTTCAGGATGTGAACATTGTGATAGCATGTTGTGAAGTTAAAGTGCGAGCTCAAACGCTGAGCTTTAATTCTGTGTTCAGAACCGGATGTCGTTTCCTCCTTTAAATGCTCCGTGACAATGTTTGCATTTTGGTTTTTGATTGTCTATGACAGACACTTGATCATCAACTCAAATACTACATATCTCTGTACACAACTCAGGATTTTTTCTTTGTTGCAGTACTTTTGTTGCTGCAGCTGCTTATTTTGTTGTTCAGAACTTCAGCATCTATACTGCCTTCACTGCCTGCAGGACTGCAGAAACACAAGGCCAGCACATTTTCAAGAGTTTGGCATTGACTTGGTACCAAAGCAACTATTCTACATACACTCTTCACATCCTGACTGCACCTTCAGATTCTGTTGCTGAAAATCACAAACTGGATCTCTGACAGGGACGACCCACTGAGGAAATGCTGGATGAATACGCAGTTTACTGTAACCGCTGAGGAGGATTTCAGAGACTGGACGTCTCAGAGGTACAAATGCTGAGAGGAACTCATCCCAAGCAGCAATGTGAAGACAGCAGGCATGAGGCAGCGCGACCTCTTCAAGTATTCTGATGTATTCAGACTGATCCATGATTCCTGGTATGTGATAAATAGGCCGACACCACAGTAAGAGAAGCAGCTCCATACCATGATGCTGCCGCCACCGTGCTTCACGGTCTTCACCGTGTCCTGTGGATTCGGTGTTTGGGGGTCGTCTGCAGCCCTAGACCCAGACAGAACAACCTAGCTGTCATCAGTCCACTACATGCTTCTCCATTTCTCTTTAGGCCAGTCGATATGTTCTTTGGCAAACGGTATCCTTTTCTTTTTTTAACAGTGGGACTCTGCGGGCTTCTCGCCGAAAGATTAGCCTCTCACAGGCGTCTTCTACCTGCCACAGGACTCACAGGTAACTTCAGACATCTGTGATCTCCCTGGAGATGATCCTTGGCTGAGTCTTTGCCATTCTGGCTACTGTTCAATCCATTCGAATGGTCGTCTTCTGTTTTCTTCCACGTCTCTCTGCTTTTGTGTTCCATTGCAAAGCACTGGAGATCATTTTCTGCACGTCTCCATGCGTTTCCTCTCTCCAGTTAACATTTTAAATACAGCACGCTGTTCTTCTGAACGGTGTCTGGACCGAGCCATCTTCCTCAGGTTTTCAGAGAACTGCATGTACAACTTGTGCCGGCTTCGTCCTTCAGTCAGGCCACCTGAATGACTCACTGGTTGAACTCCACGCTGCAGCTGTCACCTTGAACGCACCCCTTCAGTTAATGACTCAGTTCCACAGACTCAGGAGCTGCATGTCAGGAATGTTGGGTCTGTTGGGTTCTCCGTCTCTGCTGCACCTCCTGCTACATCATTTGCCACGTAATAATATAATTGCTACCAAAAACAGGCTGATGTGGTTACTCATGTTGGACTGCTATTATTTGAACACAACTTTAAAATGATGACCACAACAACGCGTTCTGGCAGATGAAAACAACGGAGCATTTTCTATTCATTAAACTCATTCCTGCGGGGATGTGAGTTCATCCTCTGCTTCTGTTTTCATGATGGTAGCCAGCAGTTAATTTCATTGGTCACTGGTGTTTCTGACATGTAGCAGGTCTGTCTGTGTGTCTCTGAGCGACCCACTCTGGTGCAAAAAATAATCACCTGCTTTCATGTAAATGTGACATCAGAACACCTTATTTGACTCTGTCTGGTCTCTCAGCTGTCTGTGCTGCTGCAGTAACTGATGGAGACTAGAAGCTGATCTGTGCACCGTTACTCCTGTTTTTTTGCTCATTTACAGTACGTGTTCAGAAGTGACCATGTTTGTGGAACTGACAGAACAGGTAACACTTAAAATGTTTTCTTGGGGTGTAAAGTTTTGGGTGCTGATGCACCTAAACAAAAAATTTAGTCACACAAGTGCAACCAATGTAAAAAGTTGAGTGTGAAGTGTGAAGCCTTGTCAGATCAAATCCCTGCAAGACAAGCTACCAAAACTCCACTAGAGCTGTAACAGATTCAAGCTAAGAGAAGACTCACCTTTCTGGGCTGGATGCTCTCAGCAGCATCCATCGTGGCATCCAAACAGCGACTCACAACAGGAAGAACTTTTCTCTCTGCCTCAGCCGACAAACGCATCGCTTCACCGATTCTCTCGATCCGCCGTTCTTCCATGTCCTGGATACGCTACAAAACAAGGAACCACTCTGCTACACCCAGACTTATAAATACTGGTTTACCTGGTGTATAACTGGTACCAGTGTG